AGATCTCCTGGGTGACCTGGACCAGTGGGGTGCCGGCGACCAGCCACAGGTACCAGCTGTTGGTGACCAGATCCAGGAGGCAGCTGAACACATACACCCCCAAGTAGAATGGCAGACAGGTGGGCCACTCCCAACAGTCGTACCACTGAAACTTGGTGGTGTGGTTCATCATGCCGGGATGGGAAGAGAGGGGGGATGCCAGTTAAAGGTCCTGAACAGTCAAAATCATGTTTTCATCAAATCGGATGATATTTGGATAAAACCAATTCAAAGTAGGATGACCAACGTATGAAAAATGACTGTTGCTGGTACATAGATAAAGTTAGATCAGAAAATTACTGGCTTTCTCCTTTGTGTCAAAAATGTGAATACAGAAAGCCAGATACTATTGGCTTATTGTGGGATAGTCACATTTAGCCGCTCATTTAAATACACAAACAATAACATCTTATTCTCTTACCAAATTTAGGGCTCTATTAAATATGTGTCGCTGAAGTGTTGCAGATAGAATGCTAGAAATCTAAAGTACATTTCCAATTGAGCCGACATCTGCAGCGTTCACCGTGAATTTCCACAATACGGATTTAAAGAGCCCTTAGATAAGCCTTAACCATCATCAAATGTTCGCAGGGTGTTGTTTACATAGCTAGCTAGTCTACTGGTGCTAAGAACTGTCAGTCAAGGCGAGCTTCCCGCCCACTCAGGCTATTAGCTTCTCGCCCACTTTTCAAAAATTCTGAGCATTTTAATCATAATGTCTTTTTTTATAGGTGATGTTTTAGTCACGTAAAAGACAATTTTAGCTGGGAAATAGGATGACTGTGCAGGACCTTTAAGGTCCTGATAACAATCTTTGTAGAAGCAGGTGTGTTACAGTGAGGGAAAAAAGTATTTGATCCCCTGTTGATTTTGTGCATTTGACCACTGACAAAGAAATGATCAGTCTATAATTTTAATGGTAGGTTTATTTGAACAGTGATAGACAGAATAACAACAAAGAAATCGTGAAAAACGCATGTAAAAAATGTTATAAATTGATTTGCATTTTAATGAGGGAAATAAGTATTTGACCCCCTCTCAATCGAAAGATTTCTGGCTCCCAGGTGTCTTTTATGCAGGTATTGAGCTGAGATTAGGAGCACACTCTGAAAGGGAGTGCTCCTAATCTCCCCTTGTTACCTGTATAAAAGACACCTGTCCACAGAAGCAATCAATCAATCAGATTCCAAACTCTCCACCATGGCCAAGACCAAAGAGCTCTCCAAGGATGTCAGGGACAAGATTGTAGACCTACACAAGGCTGGAATGGGCTACAAGACCATTGCCAAGCAGCTTGGTGAGAAGGTGACAACAGTTGGTGCGATTATTCGCAAATGGAAGAAACACCAAATAACTGTCAATCTCCTTCGGCCTGAGGCTCCATGCAAGATCTCACCTTGTGGAGTTGCAATGATTATGAGAACGGTGAGGAATCAACCCAGAACTACACGGGAGGATCTTGTCAATGATCTCAAGGCAGCTGGGACCATAGTCATCAAGAAAACAATTGGTAACACACTACGACGTGAAGGACTGAAATCCTGCAGCGCCCGCAAGGTCCCCCTGCTCAAGAAAGCACATACAGTGGGGAAAAAAAGTATTTAGTCAGCCACCAATTGTGCAAGTTCTCCCACTTAAAAAGATGAGAGAGGCCTGTAATTTTCATCATAGGTACACGTCAACTATGACAGACAAAATGAGAAAAAAATAATCCAGAAAATCACATTGTAGGATTTTTAATGAATTTATTTGCAAATTATGGTGGAAAATAAGTATTTGGTCAATAACAAAAGTTTCTCAATACTTTGTTATATACCCTTTGTTGGCAATGACACAGGTCAAACGTTTTCTGTAAGTCTTCACAAGGTTTTCACACACTGTTGCTGGTATTTTGGCCCATTCCTCCATGCAGATCTCCTCTAGAGCAGTGATGTTTTGGGGCTGTCGCTGGGCAACACGGACTTTCAACTCCCTCCAAAGATTTTCTATGGGGTTGAGATCTGGAGACTGGCTAGGCCGCTCCAGGACCTTGAAATACTTCTTACGAAGCCACTCCTTCGTTGCCCGGGCGGTGTGTTTGGGATCATTGTCATGCTGAAAGACTCAGCCACGTTTCATCTTCAATGCCCTTGCTGATGGAAGGAGGTTTTCACTCAAAATCTCACGATACATGGCCCCATTCATTCTTTCCTTTACACGGATCAGTCGTCTTGGTCCCGTTGCAGAAAAACAGCCCCAAAGCATGATGTTTCCACCCCCATGCTTCACAGTAGGTATGGTGTTCTTTGGATGCAACTCAGCATTCTTTGTCCTCCAAACACAACGAGTTGAGTTTTTACCAAAAAGTTATATTTTGGTTTCATCTGACCATATGACATTCTCCCAATCCTCTTCTGGATCATCCAAATGCACTCTAGCAAATTTCAGACGGGCCTGGACATGTACTGGCTTAAGCAGGGGGACATGTCTGGCACTGCAGGATTTGAGTCCCTGGCGGCTTTGTGTGCTACTGATGGTAGGCTTTGTTACTTTGGTCCCAGCTCTCTGCAGGTCATTCACCAGGTCCCCCCGTGTGGTTCTGGGATTTTTGCTCACCGTTCTCGTGGTCATTTTGACCCCACGGGGTGAGATCTTGCGTGGAGCCCCAGATCGAGGGAGATTATCAGTGGTCTTGTATGTCTTCCATTTCCTAATAATTGCGCCCACAGTTGATTTCTTCAAACCAAACTGCTTACCTATTGCAGATTCAGTCTTCCCAGCCTGGTGCAGGTCTACAATTTTGTTTCTGGTGTCCTTTGACAGCTCTTTGGTCTTGGCCATAGTGGAGCTTGGAGTGTGACTGTTTGAGGTTGTGGACAGGTGTCTTTTATACTGATAACAAGTTCAAACAGGTGCCATTAATACAGGTAACGAGTGGAGGACAGAGGAGCCTCTTAAAGAAGAAGTTACAGGTCTGTGAGAGCCAGAAATCTTGCTTGTTTGTAGGTGACCAAATACTTATTTTCCACCATAATTTGCAAATAAATTCATTAAAAATCCTACAATGTGATTTTCAGGATATTTTTTTCTCAATTTGTCTGTCATAGTTGACGTGTACCTATGATGAAAATTACAGGCCTCTCTCATCTTTTTAAGTGGGAGAACTTGCACAATTGGTGGCTGACTAAATACTTTTTTCCCCCACTGTTTACAGGGCCGTCTGAAGTTTGCCAATGAACATCTGAATGATTCAGAGGAGAACTGGGTGAAAGTGTTGTGGTCAGATGAGACCAAAATCGAGCTATTTGGCATCAACTCAACTCGCCGTGTTTGGAGGAGGAGGAATGCTGCCTATGACCCCAAGAACGCCATGGAGGTGGAAACATTATGCTTTAGGGGTGTTTTTCTGCTAAGGGGACAGGAACTTCACAGCATCAAAGGGGGCCATGTACCGTCAAATCTTGGATGAGAACCTCCTTCCCTCAGCCAGGGCATTGAAAATGGGTCGTGGATGGGTATTCCAGCATGACAATGACCCAAAACACACGGCCAAGGCAACAAAGGAGTGGCTCAAGAAGAAGCACATTAAGGTCCTGGAGTGGCCTAGCCAGTCTCCAGACCTTAATCCCATAGAAAATCTGTGGAGGGAGCTGAAGGTTCGAGTTGCCAAACGTTAGCCTCGAAACCTTAATGACTTGGAGAATATCTGCAAAGAGGAGTGGGACAAAATCCCTCCTGAGATGTGTGCAAACCTGGTGGCCAACTACAAGAAACGTCTGACCTCCTTGATTGCCAACAAGGGTTTTGCCACCGAGTACGAAGTCATGTTTTGCAGAGGGGTCAAATACTTATTTCCCTCATTAAAATGCAAATCAATTGATAACATTATTGACATGCGTTTTTCTGGATTTTTTTGTTGTTATTCTGTCTCTCACTGTTCAAATAAACCTACCATTAAAATTATAGACTGATCATGTCTTTGTCAGTGGGCAAACGTACAAAATCAGCAGGGGATCAAATACTTCTTTCCCTCACTGTATGACCAGACTTTATAATGCTTTATGAAGCAAAGGGGTTTAGTGCTCTATAGCAAGGTTTCTCAAACTCGGTCCTGGGCACAACACAGCTGATTCAAATAACCAACACATCATCAAGCTTAGATTATTTGAATCAGCTGTGTAGTGCTAGGGCAAAACCATGCACCCGAGGACCGAGTTTGGGATACCCTGCTCTATAGGACATTCCCATTAGGAAACTCTAATTCCATTGTGCACCCTTTTATGCTCACATGTGCATAACTCCTGCAGAGATTCTGAAAAATTCTGGGATTCGGTTATACCCCTCTGGACACTAATAGTAAAATGACCCAAGATAATGAAATGTTGAATAATATTTAGAAAGGTAACTTAATCAAGCTGTTACATTGTGCTGAGGTATAAACTGCTCCAGTGAGAACCAGTAGAATCACAGAGTAGTTCATCTCTAAGCTCATCTTCGTGTTTGAGAGAGCGCTGCAAATTCATAGTCAGTAGGACTCTTAGAGGAACCTCTGAAAAGGAGGAAACTACTCTGTTGTTGCTGTTGGTATTCATGAATTAATCTTTGTTAGATATCTATTGATTTGTTCTTCACACAGAAGTGTGTCTCAGAGAAATTGCCTCCCTGGTCTGTATTAGCAGTGACTCCTTTATTTATACTTGAATTATCTGTTCTACTTTTGCAACATAAAAAATAATTTATAGGTCAGTCTCAATGCTTCCTTAAAACCTTTTATTTAGGCAAGTTTACATAATGTCAATGCAGTGTCTATACAGTACATGTACTCAGATGCAAGCCAATGGTGAGTCTATGTACAGAGTATAGAGCAAAATGTGACAATTTATAATCAAATATAGCACATTATAAAACAGATAAATCCAGACAAATCCAGTGGATCAACTCAGACAAAATGTGATTGTTATTGCATGGGCACAGTAGGCCTTTCATTCCAACAGTTGGTTGACAACCTCTTTTGTGATTGGGTATGTCAACACACAGTTCCCATGATATTTGCTAGCTGATTGGTTCCTCCCGTTGATCAGGACTACGGGGAATATGGTGTGGAATTTGACGATGTCTGCCACAGTATCAAACATCTAGGGAGAAAATAAAACATGAATGAAAGCCATGTAAGGATACGCTTGGTGTGATACTTAAAGCTGCAATCCATACCGGTGAAACTGCCACGTCCGTTTGCCGTATTACAACAACAAAGACGTTACTTCAAAACAAGGAACACAGTTCCGCACGTGCGGTAGAACAGCAGGGTATCTAGGCCTACTACCATGTTTTTTTTACCGTGATGCTGGAGGCTCATTTCCTCAAAACAAAAACAATGACAAAGCTGCCTGTGGCGTCCAGTGGCGCTGTTTCGCCCATGGCGGATATCAGCGTTAATGTAAAGTAAAATCTACTCAAGTAAAGTTAAAGTAAATTCTACTAAAGCAAAGTACTCCTTCTTACTTGTCTACTCACATCATTGGCACTTTGCCCAGTCCCAAGGGCGTACTTGGAGGTGCTATCAATGAACCGAATTTTAACATTGAAAACTCTCTTGTCATGAAACACTGCTAAGACGAAGGGTTCGCTGTCCGTGTTCCTTGAGCAATTCCGCACCAAAAATGCCCCATCCTGTTAGGGAGACATTTGGGTAACACTTTCTTTAAAGGGTACATATACAAGGACTTTATAACACAGTTATAACACATTCATAAGCAGGATGTAATCATTTCATATAAAATATACAGTGCTCACTAGGATCACATCCATTAATACTTCAAGAAACACCTTGTAACTCTGCTGTTGGGACTGTTCTAACTCTTAGCAGTTGACCCCTCTGCAAAACATGACTTAGTACTTGGTGGCAAAACCCTTACTACCAAGTACTAAGTCATGTTTTGCAGAGGGGTCAAATACTTATTTCCCTCATTAAAATGCAAATCAATTTATAATATTTTTGACATGCGTTTTTCTGGATTTCTTTGTTGTTATTCTGTCTCTCACTGTTCAAATAAACCTACCATAAAAATTATAGACTGATCATTTCTTTGTCAGTGGGCAAACGTACAAAATCAGCACGGGATCAAATACTTTTTTCCCTCACTGTATTATAAACTGGGTGGTTCAAGCCCTGAATGCTGATTGGCTGACATCTGTGGTATATTGGCCATATACCACACCCCCTCGGGCTTCATTGCTTAAATAACACCTCACATTGCAAACCTTATTCACCAGGTGTAAGGCATGTTCAGCCTCTGCTCGATCGCAAGCTCCTATGTACCAGTCTTGTTCATTGTACGTCTGGAAAAAAATTAAGCTAATTGTAATTTCATAAATGGGCCAATCATGTAGGCTACAGTACATTTGCATTTCCTGTCATAGTTTTGGTTCTTTCATTACTTCCAAGTAATTTTCAAGCACATCATTGTCCTGTTTGGTTTGGTGGACATCCCTCATTTGGAGATGTGCCTGGTGTATTCAGGCAGCATACCTGACAAGGTCTTTCCTTGGGGACAAAGTCATGCTGCTCCACATCATCTTTGGTTTGAGGCCACTCATGGTGTTGTTGGCGCTTCACTGAGGACTCTTCTACATTCCATAAAAAAAGACAGCCTTTAAATTGCATTTATCATACTCGACAAAGTAGTTTATTTTCTATAGGTAAATTGGAGATCAATGCAATTAAAACTATACAAAATGTTTAGATGGCAAGGTCTTATTTACCTGGGGTATTGTGCCTTTGTTGTAACCTAATTCAAGAATCAAATAATGTGTTATCATAAACATTGAAAAATACTAATGAACTACTGCAGTGGTTTTAAAGAACTTCACAAAAATTCCTCCCATGTACCTTATGTCTGTGTTGAGTTGAAATTCAAGGTCCAATGAATATCTTTGGCTTTGGATAGTTCGCTCTCTCCCCGAACAATGACCTAAAATATGTTGAAATTGATATTATTATAATTACAACCTTAGAACATTTGGTTTCTTTAATATGGAATTTAAATAGTACTCACCTTTTGAGGGTGTATTGCATTCCACCTATAATGAATATGAAGCATACATTATTAGTGATGAACATGAAGCAAACATTAGTAGCTATTCATTTACTTGTTACTCAGTTTTAGCAATAACGTTTTATGGACCGCTAACACTGCATCCATGTAGATAGATTCACCCAAAGTTAAATTTAGGCATACAATATGTGATTTGACCACTTACATGTTGTTGTCCTCTCTGTCTGCTGGAGGGAAAAAGAGATGGACCAATTTTACAATACTCTTCAAATCTCATGACATCTTTTAATTGGAAATATAACTATAGATGCACATAATTTCTGAGATGGGTCATGGTGGAATCACATTCAACCAAGAGGTGGCCCTAATAGTCCATATAACAATGCATTAGTGTCCCCTTATTGTCCCCATGGTGTTAGTTAGATGGAAAAAACACTCACTCTCTCCTGCAGGGCCTCTGGAGGTCCAGCCCAGCCAGCTTGATTATTAGGTTCTTAGGTAAGGAGGGTGTAGACCTGGAACCAAACAGTATTCAAATGAACATACTGGACTTACAAACATGATGCTGATACCAGCGTCATTACATTTGTAAAGGGACTATAGGTACTATTACCTTGGTGGGAGTAGCATGTTCTGGAAAAGAGGAATATCAAGAGGAATATATTTTACATTTGGCACTCTTTTCCAGTTTGGAATATTTTAAAGAAAAGAGAAACCAGTATCATGTTTTTGTTTGTAAATCTTAAGTGCTAGCCTCTTGATCCTTGCCAGAGCGTTTGTTTGGAATATTGAATAGTATACTTTTTTCACTGAGTAAAACATTTACCTGTTCTGTAGACTCCATGACTTGTGTTCTGTCATCTGTAAAACAACATCTCTTGAACTTGATTTCCTTTGTTGTGCTATATCATCATCTTGACATCATCATGTTTATGAATTGGAATAAGTGAAGTCATGTTCTGCATGCACCGATTATCAATTATCCCAATCAAAACTGATGTTAAAGGATGATGTTATTATCACCAATGATTACTGAGGTGACTGTATTGTCTGTATGGTGATTATTACCTAACTGGGTCCTCCTTGATTTTCCTGGTTTCAGTTGGCGGTTGACAGCAGGTCTGGTATTTCCTATTCAAAACAACGCCATGCATCCATTGACCAAACTTGAAACATGACCAAGGACTGTCCATATTGGAACTCTCTACCAACGCTTATTTGTGCTTCAATCAGTAATTGATTGTGAATAAAACTGTGTAGACGTCATAAGCCTCAGTTTGGGTTTTAGTTACCTGGAGGAGTACAAGGGAGTCCTCTTCTGGGATTTCGTGGGGGTATGATAGGGCTGCCCTACAAGCATGACAAAACATGGCAATAAACATTAATATAATCATTGAACAATGGGGTTTAAACTCTCGTGGACTGGATGTAAACTGGCAAATTGTGTGATGTAAAAGAGGAACTGAGGAAAATCACGTACACTTGAAGTGGAGCTGATACTCTGAGCGTAGGAGGATCTGGAAATGTCCCTATCTTTAAAAGAAAGAATATCATTATTATTAATCTCAATAGTTTTGGTTGATATGGCAATTTCAAGTTGTACCAGCAGATGTAAGTATAGTGTGCTATTCCCCCTACACAATAAAACAACTCTTACTGTATCCATAGTAACACAGCCAAAAGTAGAGCAGCTGTGGGGCCCGTGACTGTGGTATGACTACAGAGCAGCTGTGAGCCCCTATCTGTCATATTACTACAGAGCAGCTGTGGGGCCCCTGACTGTAATATTACTACAGAGCAGTTGTGGGGCCCCTGACTGTGGTATGACTACATAGCAGTTGTCAGACCCTATCTGTAATATTACTACAGAGCAGTTGTGGGGCCCCTGACTGTGGTATTACTACAGAGCAGCTGTGTGGCCCCTGACTGTGGTATTACTACAGAGTAGCTGTGTGGCCCATGACTGTGGTATGACTACAGAGCAGCTGTGGGGCCCCTGACTGTAATATTACTAGAGAGCAGCTGTGGGGCCCCTGACTGTGGTATTACCACAGAGCAGATGTGTGGCCCCTGACTGTGGTATTACCACAGAGCAGATGTGTGGCCCCTGACTGTTGTATTACTACAGAGCAGCTGCGGGGCCCCTGACTGTGGTATGACTACAGAGCAGCTGTGGGGCCCCTGGGGCCCCTGATCGTGGTATTACTACAGATCAGCCATAATCCATGAGGAGTTTACTCACACTACTCATGCTATTCTCTCCCCCTTCTTTTCAGGATAATTGTATCTCTCCTACAGTGTGGATTTGATTGGCCTACAGATGGCTCTAGAGATCCACTCACAGGCCTCTCTCAGCAGCATGAGATCTCACTTACAGCTCTGCTTTCTGTCTCACTTGTTCTTCCCCACACTTTCTTTTCTTCCTTTCAATTAGACTGGTGCACAATGGAGCTTCTTGTCTAGTCTAAATCTACTTTGTGCTTGAATGTCTTAGAATGTCTCGTAAAATAGACTTCAAAGTGAAATTGGAAGTAAAATACACAATTTTTTTTACATATTACATTTTAAGTTTAATTATAGATATACAGTATGTTAATTATAGGTATTTTGCATTTGTCATGTGTGGATAGCTAATACCTTTCATCCAAGATGGAGGAGCAACTTTTACTTTTGACCTCTCAATGCCATAATTCTATCTAATAGATTGTCAGGGACTATAGTTCCTACCTGCATAGTCTCTGTCTGACTCAGGGGATCTGGCAGGATGGATGTGCACCAAGAATTCTTCTTCATGGTTGTCAGGGACATGATACCTATCCTCCTCCACATTACTATAGCGACCATATCTCTGTTTGGTCTTGTTGCCTCTCTTCCAAGGTTCCTGTGTAGAACGAGAAGGAGCTACTTCAATGTGAGATTCACACACACTGTAGAGTTCACACAAACTGCATGAAACTGTTTTTTTATTTTATTTGTATTTTATTTCACATTTATTTAACCAGGTAAGCCAGTTGAGAACAAGTTCTCATTTACAACTGTAACCTGGCCAAGATAAAGCAAAGCAGTGTGATAAAAACAACAACAACATAGAGTTACATATGGGGTAAACAAAACGTACAGTCAAAAACACAATAGAAAATCTATATACAGTGTGTGCAAATGTAGTAAGTTATGGAGGTGAGGCAATAAATAGGCCATAGTGCAAAATAATTACAATTTAGTAATAACACTGGAGTGATAGATGTGCAGAAGATGATGTGCAAATAAAAATACTGGGGTGCAAATGAGCAATGTAAATAACTATGGGGATGAGGTAGTTGGGTGGGCTAATTACAGATGGGCTGTGTACAGGTGCAGTGATCGGTAAGCTGCTCTGACAACTGATGAAACTGTTGAAACTGTTGACTCGTTACCTAAGAGTTTGTTTTTTGTCTGGTGTATATTAAAGTCATCATTAGCTCCACATAAAAGTACCGTCAGGATATTTCCCCTGATATCTGTCACACCTTTGCATTCTAATCAGCAATGTCTCAGAAACGTCATTATTAATTTACTGTAACTGAGTGTACTGTGGTGTGAGTGCTGGTGTTGGGCCATGTTTTGACAAGAAGGAGAAACTCGGCCCACCACATTAATGCCTTACGCTCACTTCACCCACTTTGTACAAACAAGCCACAATGTGACAGATGGTGGAACTGGCAGCGTGGGGTGGTGGAGGGTTGGAGGGCAAAGGATATTAACATAATTTGAGAGCCCTTGACCGACAATACAGTGATATGTTTCATAAATGTGTGAAATGAAATGAGACTAGACAGGCACACAGACAGACAGACTGACTGACAGGAAAGAAGAGATGCATAAGGGAAGTTACACTATACAGTGCATTTTGTTATGTTAAAATTGATTAAATAATCAATCAATCTACACACAATACCCCATAATGACAAAGCGATAACAGGTTTTTAGATTTTTTTGTAAATGTATTACAAATAAAAAATTGAAAAATCTTATTTGCGGTTGGAGGCCGAGCAGTTGCCACACCAGGCGGTGATGCAACCAGTCAGGATGCTCTCGATAGTGCAGCTGTATAACTTTTTGAGGATCTGAGGACCCATGCCAAATCTTTTCAGTCTCCTGAGGGGGAATAGGCTTTGTTGTGCCCTCTTCATGACTGTCTTGGTGTGTTTGGACCATGATAGTTCGTTGGTGATGTGGACACCAAGGAACTTGAAGCTCTCAACCTGTTCCACTACAGCCCCGTCGATGAGAATGGGGGCGTGCTCAGTCCTCTTTTTTTTCCTGTAGTCCACAATCATCTCCTTTGTCTTGGTCACGTTGAAGGAGAGGTTGTTATCCTGGCACCACACGGTCTCTGACCTCCTGCCTATAGGCTGTCTCATCGTTGTCGGTGATCAGGCCTACCACTGTTGTGTCGTCGGCAAACTTAATGATGGTGTTTGAGTCGTGCCTGGCCATGCAGTCATGGGTGAACAGGGAGTACAGGAGGGGACTGAGCACGCACCCCTGAGGGGCCCCCGTGTTGAGGATCAGCGTGGCAGATGTGTTGTTACCTACCCTTACCACCTGGGGGCGGCCCGTCAGGAAGTCCAGGATCCAGTTGCAGAGGGAGGTGTTTAGTCCCAGGATCCTTAGCTTAGTGATGAGCTTTGAGGGCACTATGGTGTTGAAGAAGCCACTTCTCAGTAAATGGCACATGACAGCCCACTTGGATTTTGCCAAAAGGCACCTAAAGGACTCTCAGACCATGAGAAACAAGATTCTCTGGTCTGATGAAACCAATATTGAACTCTTTAGCCTGAATGCCAAGCGTCACGTCTGGAGGAAACCTGGCACCATCCCTATGGTGAAGCATGGTGGTGGCAGTATCATGCTGTGGGGATGTTTTTCAGCGGCAGGAACTGGGAGACTAGTCAGGATCGAGGGAAAGATGAACAGAGCAAAGTACATTTACATTTTACATTTTTGTCATTTAGCAGACGCTCTTATCCAGAGCGACTTACAGTTAGTGAATCCAATTATTATTATTTTTTTTTTTAATACTGGCCCCCCCTGGGAATCGAACCCACAACCCTGGCGTTGCAAACGCCATGCTCTATCAACTGAGCTACATCCCTGCCGGCCATTCCCTCCCCTACCCTGGACGACGCTGGGCCAATTATGCGCCGCCCATGAGTCTCCCGGTCGCGGCCGGCTGCGACAGAGCCTGGATTCGAACCAGGATCTCTAGTGGCACAGTTAGCACTGCGATGCAGTGCCTTAGACCACTGCGCCACTCAGTACAGAGAGATCTTTGATGAAAACCTGCTCCAGAGCGCTCAGGACCTCAGACTGGGGAAGGTTCACCTTCCAACAGGACAACGACCCTGAGCACACAGCCAAGACAATGCAGGAATGGCTTCAGGAAAAGTCTCTGAAAGTCCTTGAGTGGCCCAGCCAGAGCCCGGACTTGAACCCGATCGAACATCTCTGGAGAGACCTGAAAATAGCTGTGCAGCGATGCTCCCCATCCAGCCTGACAGAACTTGAGAGGATCTGCAGAGAAGAATGGGAGAAACTCCCCAAATACAGGTGTCCCAAGCTTGTAGCATCATACCCAAGTAGACTCGAGGCTGTAATTGCTGCCAAAGGTGCTTCAACAAAGTACTGAGTAAATGTGATATTTCCGTTTAAAAATTTTCATAAATGTTCAACAATTTCTAAAAAAACATTTTTTCTTTGTCATTATGGGGTATTGTGTGTAGATTGATGAGGGGAAAAACAATTTAATCCATTTTATAATAAGGCTGTGACGTAAGAAAATGTGGAAAAAGTCAAGGGGTCTGAATACTTTCCGAATTCACTCTCAAAAGTTGTTGAATGTCGTACCTCGCTGAGGGCATATCAGTAAAGGCTGCAGTCCAAACGCAAAGTAGACAGCCCTCAGCCCTAAACCCTCAGCTCTTGAATTATGTTTTACATTGTCACATCCGAGTGTACCTCAAATGCACAGGAGTTTGGTGTCACCTTAATTGGGGAGAACGGGCTCGTGGTAATGACTGGAGCGGAATTAGTGGAATGGTATCAAATACATCAAACACATGGTTTCCAGGTGTTTGATGCCATTCCATTTGATCCATTCTGGACATTATTATGAGCCGTTCTGTTCTCCTGTGCTCAAATGTCCCTTGCCCAAGCGAGGAAGAGTGATGATCAGAGAGGCAATGTCCTTGATCGAAGTCTTGAATTTGAGCTTAAAAACAAAAAACCTAAAACTATTAGGGCCCCGTGTAGCTCAGTTGGTAGAGCATGGCGCTTGCAACGCCAGGGTTGTGGGTTCGTTTCCCACGGGGGTCAGTATGAAAATGTATGCACTCACTAACTGTAAGTCACTCTGGATAAGAGCGTCTGCTAAATGACTAAAATGTAAATTAATGTATCTAGCAAGCTAACATAGCTAGCACTCCTGTCAGGTAGCTAGCTAAAGTTAACCATATCTTGCTAGCTAATTTTATAGTTTGGTCATTTATTTCAGATTTGCCCCCAAAAAATTTACGAAGCTAGCTACGTTTTATAGGTGCCTCACTACGAGACTAAGCCAATTTGAGCGTCATTCCCATTTGCCAACGCTAAAATCAATGTCATCTATACATTTTTTTAGCAAACTTGGTCATAATTTTGTCTCAAATGCCGAAAATGCAGCCGTGTTGATTAAATTTGACACATTGCGGCCACCGGAGTTTGACACGTGACTACAATTTGCATTGAATTGTGGGTCATATCAACCCCACTAGTGATCAAAGTATTTCACTTGCTCCCTCGAGCTAAATCGAGGGCCGAGGGGGCAACGTTTGTGAATTTGACCTCCACTTAAGATGGCAATCAAACTGCATCCGGTTTCGATGTGGATTCCCCCGAGGGAAAGTCGCTTACGTGAGGGCTGAGGGGGTAAAATGAACGTGTTTGGACTGCAGCCCTAATAACAGGAAGGGTTGCGAGCTCTAAAACCGTCCTCCCAGGTACAAGTGGAACCAACAGGTCACCCATTACTCACCATAATCACAGCAGACTCATAGCTGGTCTCTCTCTTCAGCAAACGATGAGGCCAAACACAAACAAAAAAAAACATAATTAGCTTGGCATTTAACCTAAGGCTGCACATTCCAAAACAGCACGTCCTTGGAGCCTTTCATCCACTGAGCACATGCAGAAGTATTGTGGGTCTGTCCCAAATGGCACCCGCACTATACAGGGAATAGGGTGCCATTTGGGACGTAGACTGAGTTTTTTTAATGTTTGTAAGAGGACTTTCATTGGCCTCATGCTTGTTTCATACCACCTTACATTCACATATCTTTATTCTC